TGAGGTTGTATTGCAGTTTTCCCACAACACAAATAATCGGGTCGTGATATGCGAAATACTGTGGGTGATTTGTGGATTTCAATGAGGGCTTTGAACATTTCTGTTTGCCTACAACGTCAGAATTGCCTTTAGGATGAAGAACAACATTATTCCTTTTAATCATATGGGGAACAAAATTTTGGGAATTAATTTATTTGGTAGTCAAATGCAAGGAACTAAAAATGAAATTAGAAGTTAGATGAAGGAATATCGTGTGAGGATGTTATTAAAAGGCCCTCACTTCGCCTCAAAAAGGAAGCAAATGAATGTTGTACTGTAAGATCTCACGGTGGGACACTTAAGAAATCAGAAAGGGTAAGGCACTTGATTGAATGAAGCAAGCGTTTGTCGGGCGGCTGGATGTAGGGCTGGTTGTCTAAATATCAGTGGCTTTGGCATCTTTGGTGATTCATATCGAACTCACAGCTTTGGCTGTCATTCTTACCAACCTTCACCAACTTGTAGGAAGCCACATCTGCTACACCTGATTAGTACATCAACTGTTATCAGGGTGTTGCCGAATTGACTATTTTTTCATTTCATACAAACAAATTTTCTAACCTGACTTCAAATTATATACCAACAGCTATCTGTGCCTATCTGTGGATTCTGCAGAATGAAAGGCATTTTCCATCCAGTCATCATGAATGCCAACAGTGCTAGCACACTGCACATTTGGCTGAAGTTTTAAGCAAATCGAGAACTGGGCACCTTCACGTTCCTCTCAATGGCTTCCGCTTCTCCCACCCTCATTATGTCTTCGATGAGCAGACTGCAAGTGGAGCGCATGACTATGATTCGTGAAATGTGTTGAAGCATGACAATGAAGTGGTGAGTTGTCAGTTAACGTGGTTGCGAAAAACGCGACATGAAAAAAGGGCTGAACCTTCCAAGGGGTCCTGAAATCCACTCGCTGTCTGCCTGGAGTTAAGCCATCACTTAAGTAAGTCTGAAGTGGTAAAACCAGCATTTGCCATAGGATTTTACTGCCAATATAAAATTATTTCCGAATGCACCCAAACTCGTGACAAACCATGCTACATCATCAACATAATTTAATGCAAATTTGCACATTCATTGTTAAATACGGTGACGGCATCCTGAAACAAGGACCATCAAACAAACGCAATGGGAGAAGGCTATGTGAAGTAGGGGCTTACAATAAAGGTAGAATATTTATTATATTATCAAATAAAAATGCACTGCCTGGCAACTATTCTAACATCTTGGTTCTAGACTGAGAAACGTGACCACCCTAACTGGGAGCCAAAAGGATAACACTTGAGAGAAAATGTGGAATGAGGAGTGAATTGAAAACGAACTCCAGCTACGATGAGAGGCTATTCAGGCACATCAAAATGTTTGTCCTCAAACAATCAGTGCTGACTACACGAATCGCACAGTGGATGCAAATGCTGAAAGGAAACGAATTTACTGAAGGCAGCCACGACTGCATTAAGCTCGATTACCACAGAATGGAGAGCAACTGCATGCAAGGCCTTTTAAGGAAGGTAGACATAAAAACAACGCTGGATTTGTTTGTGGAAGGCACGCAACAGACCTAGTTGTAAAGTATGAGTAGATTCACTATTGTCTTAGCTGTGCGATTCTTATATTTAATCCATTACAAATGAAATAGTTCTTCTCCCAATCTGTAAGGTATGTGAAAGAGAATTCTGTATTATCGTCTGTGGTGAACTAAGGTAAATCTAAGTCTAGTAGTCATGCCAACATGAAGGTGCGAATGGTGGAAAATTGTTATTTTCTCTGATTCTTTGCCAATTTGGCGACATTTTATGTGTTGGTTCTACGGGAAACACCACATTATATTGGCGCTTTCAAACATTGTTGCATTCAGTTATTTCCAAACAAATCTAGGGCAGGATAATGTGGAGGAGATTTTTGCTTTTACACATAGTTATTTGGTCTGAATCTAGATGCTACATCGTTTAGCTAGCAAGAATGAAAGAAGTGCGGTGAGCAACATTTACATTTCACTGCACCAAACTTGCTCTAAGGGAAACAACAGAGTGTAAATTCCAAATGGTTCAGTAAGATTACGCAATTTTTGAACCCGTGTTTGATACAACCTCGATTAAAATGAAACAATACATCCCATTCTCAAATATGCCGGAGTCATCTCAGGAGGTAATTCCTGACAGACTTGCGTAAATGTGCAAATCGGTACGAAAACGTATGTGAAGGTGCAATTCGGAGATCTGACCTTAAGTGCGAAACTTGATTATCAAGAGAACCACCTCATTCGCAGGACATCCCTCCGACATGGTCGTGTCGAGGAAACTTTCTCCCGTCAAATTCGTGATTTCTATCAAAGCGTGAGAAACCACAAATGCATCTCGTGAATAAGTTCTTCCGTTCCCCTGATATCATAACTGCTCAATGAAGCACGATGTATTTTATGAATGCAAGAATTTCTTCAAACGGTCATTTCTCCATTCAAAGTGATTTTCTCCTGACATTATTGCAGTAAATATAGCCCCTTGGTGTCCAAGATGACACATTTTGCACAGTCGGTATGAAATGAAAGTTTACAATGAAAAAATTCCCTCCTGATCGAAATAACTCTCCTGTAATCTAATCAGCTTTGTTCTGACTGTACTTTTAACCACATTATGGCCTCCATCTTTGAACTCATTTTTCACTTTCCTTGTCAAATTGCTTTCCGTTTATGCCCAACAAACCTTCTACACGCATATAATAGGGCTTATGTGGAACCATACCTCCTGCAAATGTTTTCAAGACAGTTTCCAGAACTGCGGCATATTAGTCGGCCTCAACTAGGGACGATATTTGGGAGCAGCTTCTTTGGCAATGCTTGGCATAGTCTTGTCACACAAGTATTTCCAGCTTACATGTGACATTAGGGCAGATCATTTGCAAATTTGCATAAAATCTAAACCGAGTCTAAACCAAATAATCAAAGTGGAGATGTCTTACTGACTCGCTGTGGCACCAATTGCTCTCAGTTTGGTTTTTCATCCCAATCTAATTCTTTTTAATGTATTCAACGGTGCCACATATCTGTGACGACGACTGAGGCGAAATGCCTGCTAGAATTGCACTTCAATAATGCAGGATTCGGTAGGTTAGAATGAAGATAATTAGGGAGGAAGTTATGTACATGGCCACCGGAAACATTGCTAAGTTAGTTCTCTCTCAATATTCGTCCCTTTCCACGAGAATCCCACGGCAATTCGAGCTCACAACAGAAACGTTCACTTATTCTGGCATACTTTGGCCAGTTTATATTAGTTGCAAGATTTGTTGAACTCCGAAAACCAAGTATACATTCTCAACTACATCGTCTCTAAGTTTAGAACAGAATGTGTTAGACACATATCGGGCAATCTATGCCTTATTACAACAACAATTACAGCAGATTACGTAATTAACAATTAAAAAGGACGAGAACGCTTTCACCACTCAACACCATTTGCAATGTTACAGCTCTCCACTGATCTATTTCCTACAACAATGTAAAGCTAGACATCAGCAGCTGGGTTAGTTTTAGAGTGATCTGATGTACCGATGGTACTTATCACCAAAAGTTTTGGGCCAATTGGTACCTCGGAATTATGTCAGTTGGCAGAAGTCTGCGATTAAGAGGATTACCAAACATGGAATACAATCAGCGTCAATGGTACGAAGGTGATACCGCTGCATGATTTTAGTGTCAAAAATAAAGGGCTGCTTGAAAATTGTGGCTCTCTACAGAGCATTTTTATGGTCGCTTCAGGGTTGTAAAATTATCTCTGAATTATCGCTAAGTATTTGCCTTACACAACGACATTATTTCAGAGAATTTCTGCATCTTTATAAATGAGGTGATATAATTCAATCCGCTGGAAATGAAACAAACTTAAGCCCTTGCATCAACCAAAAGCAGCCTTTACTTGTTTACGAAGCGTAATCTGCCAATTAGATCTGAGGTTTGATGGAAAATGGTTAAAGGAATGGTAGTGTGCACCTAGCATTAATGCCGCAGATATAAATGACGAAAGGTCATCAAGGTCACAAAGTTCATCAGGTGTCTACGTCAACACATTAAGTAGGCTCATTAAGTAAGTAAGCTCAACGTGGCCCACCTAAGTGGAGTTGACATACACTAGGGTAATTGTCCACAAAATTACCACGACATTGAGGAAAATCGTTTTGGCTCCTATTGGCTTGTCGCTCTAGGAGGAAACACAAACTCTTTGCTCACCAGGTTTGTTTCATCAAACTGGAGGAATTTAAAGTCCAAGCTTTCTATTTATTTTACAGCAGCACAAATTTGCCTGCTATGTAAAGTTGTACAAAAGTAGAAGCCATATACTGCACCTTATATAGTTGCCAATCAGGAAAAAATGTACGGTTTTCACCTCCGTTTTATGAGATTCAGCTTTTTACACCAAGAAAACAGTATAATTAACTATTGTGCAATCTCTTATCAACACAAACTGCTTGCAAATTGACTAGATTCATTCAGGTGGGTTTCCTTCATTCTTTTCCAGGTCTCGTTTATTCAAGTATTGGGTGCCTCACATCCGGTTCAGAGGCTGAATTTGCGCACAGGAAAGGCGAATGTGTTCTGCAAAACTTCTTGCATAGTGTGAAATTATACAGAGATTGTTATAAAAAGTTTCATGCTCACTTGTAAATTTAAGGAACGAACTTTCCTTAAAAGCTTTTTCGGGACAAAAACTACAAAGGGAACTGCAATTGGTTTGAATGAAATGTATTGAAGACAGATTAAGAGGAGTGTCAGACACCGCGGTGTGGAGAGTAAGAAGTAGTAGTCCAAACCTGTGAAGTGATATTGGCCAATCTCTCTATTCTGTCACAATTTCGCCTCTACCATGGCTACGCTGAGGCTTGTTCGTGTCAGCCCCTTCTTATATTTGCCTAATGAAGAATGCGGTAAAACAGGGATAAACATCACTACGCAGTGTAATGGTTAGATGCCTGCAGGCTCTGTCACAGCTGCAACTCGTGCTTCGGCTGAACATCATGTCTCTGAGGCCTCATCTCTGCTATATGCTAGTAACTATTCTTACCACGTCTTATTCTGCATCTGGGAAAATTCGGTGTAGTGCAGTAACCAAATAACTGGATTTAATAAACTTTAATCCCCTACGGCCCTGTTTCAAGCATTTTAGGTGAAATAATTGAACGAACTTATTTCTCTCCCATTTGTTTTATTCTGTTTCAGATGTGAAATTGATAAAAAACATCATTGTTTCCACTTTCAATTTAACCCTATACCTATGGAAGTGGAGAGGGTGAGCAACACCATCCTAACCTGCACATTTCCTTTGTGATATTTCTGCAGGTAATGAATACCATCTTATCTTGGTATTAGCACTGAGGATTTAAGTAGCAGTTGTAATAAAAAAAGGGGAGACAGGAGTGTGTTTGGACTAGTTTTCTTTTCGGATTTGTAGGCAGTGAGAAAGAAAATGTAGGCTGTACTGGTGGCGGTTTTAAAGTGGAGATTTGTTAAAGAAGTTCTCCGCAGTCACTTTTATTTTGAAAATTATGGGATTCCGTTCGATTGTCTTACATTTGAAACTGTCATCTAATGTCCAACTTGGAAACTTGGTTTCCTGTGTTCGAAGTCGCATGTAAGTTGTGTTGTGGAAAACAATTTTAAATTTAAGTGTTAAATTCTAACATCCAAAATAACCTATAAAGCAGAATGACTGTACATAGGATCTTTCCTCTTATATGCAAGTGCATTCAAATGCTCGATTTTAGTGACAGCACGAATTTAATGTCTCCCTCAGCTCATTTCACTTTGATTGATTTGACTAGATAATTCATTTTTTTGGAAATTTTGACTGAAATATTCTACAAGAGGGGCAGAGTATTTGCACATTTAAGCGCTTAAGAACAAGCTATGAGCGGATATTCCTATCCCAATGTCTGGATAATCTTTTGGAAGTTAAAACAATGACAATGTTTAAAACAGTCCCTTAACTCAGGACCCTTGTGGTCAATACCACAAGAAAGGTAACAAAAGAGGGATTCAGTAGTTTTTTAAAGTCCTACATTTTAAAGACGCAGCGATAGCGAGAATACGTGGGCCTGAAGGGCAGTTGGACGAATATTGGAAGAGGGGTGATGCAGAAAGCGGCAGACCAGAACAACATGTCTCTTAAACTAGATCTTTGCCCTGTGTCGTGTGCACTGTTTATCACTGTCTTACCCCTATCCTCCTTTTCTCTTTCACGTTTCATCGCTTAATAACTAAACGGGTGAAACAGTTGTCTCTACTTTATGTAAGTAAGAAGATCTGAAATTCCGATTAAACTGTGCTTTCGTTGCATGTGTGTACGAAGACGATGCGAGAGATCGACGGTGATGAATCATCATTACCACCACTGATTTTTCCAGGATCACCACCATGTCTGGATCATTGCGTCAAAAACAGACGGGACGCCAAAGCGTCCCGTAATAAAATGATTTAGTAAAATCGAGGAGGAAATGGCATACGAGGCAATTTGCATCATGCAGTCTGCGGTCCGATGCAAAAGTAGACATGCGGCATTTTAGACCACCATCGTCACCACTCCTGTACCGAGAAAGCACTTAATGTAACCGCCAAGGAATGTGAAATTAAGACCTCCCATAACTCTTCTCCTGCACAATTGAAGCTAGAGACAGCTGCTTCAATCAACCTCCAAACGTCTTCAAACCACAGAAATAAACGAGATAAAGCAAATTTTTAAAATTTCTCATCACACAGAAGTGGACATGCTCTTGCAAGGGGGACAGTAGCCATGATAATTTTAGAGAAATATAACATTCAACCGGTCTTCTGGATGGTGTAAACTAGAAGTCTATGATTACAAAGTACAGTGATATCGTCGACTATCATACGGGGTACTAATTCGTGCTTCAAATGTCCATTTTGTTAATGTAAAAGCCGGTTTAGCATTCAAAGTTTATAGATGACGCGGACGACTGAAAAAAGGAACAATTGAATCGCCCAAGTCATAGCAAGGCCAAATATCATGCATACGGTTATTTCGAAGGAAGGCTCCCTAGAGGGACTTGGCACAATTAAGAAGTGGAACATTAAAGTACCTCGTATGAACCAATAAGGCTACTTAGTGATCGTACACCTTGCAGGTATTCGAGTGAATCCTGGCAGAGTTTACCCATTACATAGTCGACCATGTGATTCCAAACAGATGCGTCGTAATTCAAATGGCTGTGAATGCGTTGACAATGCGGCCACTAGGAACTGTTGCATCAGTGAGCTATCTTGTGCTGTGCTACGCTGAAATATAAATCCATGAATATGCCGTTTAAGTGACGCGAAAGGGGAAAACGGGTGAAGCATTTAACCATCTGCCAGGCTATTCTCGTCCAATTCATGTATCTACACTGTCAAATACCACTAGGATATAAAAATACAA